CCCCCCCCCCCCCCCCCCCCCCCCCTTTCTTACTTACTTCAACACTGTTAATAATCAGTATGAAATTATACTGATAACTAAAGTTGGTTGAGGGTAGTTTTTCATCGGATATATATTATTACAATTTAGAGGTAGTGATACTAATAGTCCCTACACACTTGCCTTATGTTCTCAATTTAGCACATATTAACAGCATTTACCCATGTGCGCTCGCAACAATTATCACGGCCGCGTTCTCCATGGTCAATTGGTTACCGTTAATATTTCAATTTACAAACGAGCGTATATTATTGATCGTAGTCGCAACAGGTGTCACCCCTTTAATACAATACAAACTTCGTTCAAAGAGAATTGCGAGTATTCACACTGCGACGTTTGACCTTTTTAATATAATAAAATGTTATTCCATATTTTTTTATGATCACGACAGTTTAACAGCAGAATAATATACTAACTAATACGCATTGCACTTCGATAAATATATCAACCATATTTACAGCGCGTGCTGCACTTCTACGCGTGCCAAGTGTCGTCTGATCAATGGATATACGAAATCTCCGTTGGAAACTTTGGGCTGGAACCAATGATGCTAATCACGCCAAAAGATACAAATTACTATTTCACATTATATGTACAATCAATATATTTGCCGTGTTTGGTCCATTGCAGGTAAATCAATAGAACATAGATCTACAAGCCATTCCGTTTCTGCTCAACGTAAAGCAGACGACTCGAGAATTGACAGATTATTGGATCCGATGTTAAAATCGACCGCCTCGATTTCACTGTAGACACTGAACTATAGACGTATGTACATAGCTATTCAATTTACTCGGATATATATGATATACGTATACTCGTGAAAGAAATTCCGAGGTGGATCGACAGATTAGGATTTATGCGGATTAGCAATGTACGTGCTTTAACACGTGATAAGATGTTGTCATGTTTAAATGTGTGAAGTGAGATGAAGTGGGGTAGTAATCGGATTGCGAAGTGATATCGGGATACTATTAATGCTTACTAATGATAAGTTAGGGAAGGCCGAGATTGTTTATGATTAATGCCAATGAATAAGGAGTAAATTATGTGCTCGTGTACCGACCAGTGTACTACCGTTCTACCTGGCTCGCTCACATTCGAATAATATCACCTCCAATTCTCAGGTTTATTGTAACGTCTATTGCTACTTATTGAAATAGAAGCTGTTACATATACTCTAGTTCTATATCGCTCGCGATACTAGGCCTGCTGCTACCTTCAACCAATAGCACGCTCAAACCATATATGGGTTGTAGCAGCCAGAACTGTGTAGTGAATTCACTCCTATCTTCATGCTCGCTATTTTCGCATAATTTATTCTTCAATCTTTCCCGGCATTTTTCGTATCGGTCCGATTCATACGGAACTTCCATGGATTAAGAAAAGTTTCCCGTGTTACTGGGGCAAGTTTCTGCCTGGATTTTACCGTCGGTTTTCTGGAAGTCGGAAAAGAAATCGGACCTGAAATTCGACCATCAGCAGAATTTTTGTTTTGTGAGACGTACGACCCGATCATCATCAACACGCTTCCGAGTTTTCACCGTGAACGTTTTGTATTGGGATGTAAGAAATTGTTTACAGTAATAATCGAGTAAACGACCTGATTAGCTTAATTAAATCGTAACTTTTCGTTCATCTTCAAGAATTCAGTTCACGCGTTTTTCTGTGATATTGAAAAGTGTTCAGGTAGTTTACCTGTCTGTGTATCTAGAGTGTAGAAGATTGATACCAGCTGACTGCCAGCCAAAAGGTGTATTCATCTCAAATTTTTGAACATTGACTCGTAGTTCCGATCATCAGGAGGAATTTCGTCGTGTTTTATTTCGTGTTGGGATTCTCTCCTGGGTAATTATCAGTTGTATATTGTAGGGTCGTTACGTCTCGGTGAACAAGTATAGAAGTATGTTTCGTCACATGTGAATCGTTCTGAAAAGAAACCAATCAACCTACCTCGATTTCATCGATGAGAGTAGCAGCCAAGACGACAAGTTGCCGATGATTGTGAAAAGTAGGGGACATCGGCACCAATGACGTCAGGAGGAGGGCGATTCGATTTTGATGACGGAGGCACGTACTGTGGGGGCTGGGAGGATGGCAAGGCCCACGGTCATGGAGTGTGTACGGGTCCTAAAGGTATGGGCGAATATGCTGGCGCCTGGCAATACGGATTTGAAGTTTCTGGAATATATACCTGGCCCAGTGGAAATAAATATAAGGGACAATGGTTCCAGGGCAAGCGGCATGGTCTAGGGACTGAAAATAAGGGTCGATGGATTTATCGTGGTGAGTGGACCCAGGGATTTAAGGGCCGTTATGGAGTGCGGGCTAGTACCACCTCAGGGGCCCGATATGAGGGAACTTGGACAACTGGCCTTCAAGACGGCTATGGGTGTGAAACGTACGCCGATGGAGGTAAGAGCTATTTTATATTTATCAAAATTCTGAGTAATTCATCCACATAATAATATCAAAATTGTACCCTACTAGCCAAATGCCCGTTGCCGAATATTTCATGTAAAGTCAAGGGCACATTACATAATAAAATACATCGTGTCCAACTAGCATAAACTTGGCACAATGGCAGTTTCCTGCAGTAATAATGAGGTACATTAGTGTCTCTTCAATCGTAATACAGTGTCAGTTTACCATACATCATTATTGTATCATACAAAAAGATCGGTTAAAAAGAATAGTGAGATTATATATGACCTAGATAGAGATAAACATGCACGTGATGGATAATTGTGTTTTTTTTTATTACGATATAAGTCGTCAAACTGGGTGTAATTGAGTGTTTAGTCAACTATAATTTTAATTTATTAAATCCCGACCAAGTATGTTGTACGGTTTCATATGATATGTGGGCTAAAAATAATCAAACCAGGGGCAGGTCCTACTAACAGTACATGTGACAGAGCTTTGCCTGTGATCTCCACAGGGAATAACCGGAAGGTCTCTGAGATGAATTTAAAAGCATTTTAGTACACCAAGTAATAGGTACTGACACTTTTCTATCGAATGTTTCAACTTTTCGTGGGGTTATTCTTTTTGGATGTCTTGACCCTTCAACCACGTGTTAGGGGCTACTAAGAGTCCAGGTCTTTCAGTCTTTCAGGTATAGTTTCATGCCACATTTGTCCTGATAGCCAGTGACATTCTGATTCTTGGTTTATCACGGTGTATTGCTGTTTATTTGAGTGTACTTGAGTAATAAGTCAATAGCTATCGTCGTCAATTAACAATGCTAATTTAAAATACCAAATCTCATCTGATCTAAGATTTTAGCCAATCTGTTGAGCTGTTTGTTTCCAGTTAAACATCCAATGACCTTAAGAGTTTATATTTTTAGGATATTTTGTTTATCTTCCCGTAAAATCAAGTCTAAATATTCAAGGTCGTACGCGAACTCATTGGGAAGGCTAAACTAACCGATAAAAGATGAAATATATCAAAGTTGGTTAGAAAATGGAATTCTGCTGATCCATCGTTTTATGATCTCAATATTATCATGTAGTATAAATAAAAACCCATGCATTGTAGACATAATGTTATAGATTATTTTAATTAGGGTTCTGATCGAGAGTTGGTCGCCATTAAGTCCCGTCTTCTTCATTTTGATCTGTTAAATCCCTCACGAAAGTTGAAAATGCAATTTAGATTTAATCTTTCTTGTGATTAGATTGTTACCTTGCAATAAAAAAAAATGAAAGTACAAGGTCGGCCATTGATTTCAAGGTCGTACGCGTGTAGTGAATATGATACTATTAATAGGATTATGAAAATACTTGGTTCTTTGAGTCTGTTTATTTTATTGCTACTAATTGGGGCATATACTGAATAATCTATATAATTAAAATATGTATGTTGTACTCTACTATATTCACTGGTAGTATTGTACAGTCATTCTTACAATATTTATGATTCAGAAAAATAGATGTGCACACCTTAAATATAAATAACTACGTCATGCCATGATAAGGAAGAGCCTGTGTTCAGTGGCTTATACTAGGAAACATCAGGTGAAGAGTCTGAGCAGGGGCCACAACATTTCCAGGGAGGGCACAAGCCACTTCTTCCACTATGCAAAATGATAAAAAAAATTGTTGGAGGGCCAAAGCCAGGCCAGCCTCTTTAATGAAGGGCGGTGGGGGAGATGGCCATGTTTTTCCCTGCTTCCCCCATAGGAACACCACTGCCTTTAATATTTTTAGGAATTGTTAGGTGGGGGGCGAGGAGGAGCCACAGGCAATTCTTTCCCTATGCTCTAGAAGGGTATGGATACCCTTGCAAGCTACCCTGGCTGCATATTCTTGAAATGATCTAAGAAGTTAAGACCTTGTCAAGATAGGAGATAAATAAGAGGTGTTTTAGAAGAGTAAGCTTGTCCTATCTTACTAGTGACACAAAGTTGCCGTTTTCCTTTTAATGCACCGTCAATGACTTCCTGTCTGTAATTACTATATGACCTCTAACTACTCCAGTGTTAATAAACTAACCAGAGTGTTCATTAGCTAATCTTCTCAAGATTACAACTTTGACTCACAACAACCATATTTCAATAATCATCTTTAACAAGGTCAAGGTCACGAAGCTATTGTACTTATTGATTGGTTATCTTCTTATGACGTCATCAATATTTAAACTGGGCACTAATCGTGTCTATTTCTCCTAAACGACCAAGACACAAGCACTAGGCAAGCAATTTACATTGTACAAATCTCCTCAATTAAACCAAGTACTTGTCATCCTTAGAGAAATAACGTATCTTCAGGCCTCAGACCTAAAATAGTTCACATAATAATATATTAATGACCAAACAATTTCAAGTTTTCTGGAGAAAATAAGACAAAGCGTAGGATTGAACATTTTATTTCCTAAAGGGTAGTTTACATTGGTGATGTGGGACATTTTTTAAGGGTCGTTTACATAATTGTTGGTGTAAGAGGGGGTGGGGGGGAGCCATCTTAGCACTTCAGCTCCCCTTTCGGATTTTAGAGGGCACTTATCATGGTGGGGGGCTCCCTATTTTCTAATCTAGGAAAGCAGAGGCTACATCTTACGCGATTTTTGGCAATAAAAGTAGAAAAAATTTATCATTTTTTCCCTGCCAATGTATTTTCTTATGTAAAATGTATTCAGATGTTTAATGACCTCCAATGAACCAATATTTTAATGTAGGTGTATAGTAGCTGTAACACCTGTTCTATAGACTTCAATAACTATCTATTCTAAATGTTTTTTGCAGTTTTTTTATAAGTATGGCTAATAATATTAGATAATTGAATATTTGGCGTAGTTCAGTAGGTGTATGAATATTAATTGACAAAATATTGATTTTGAATGTATGTTGATTTTTGTGATACAACTGCTAAAATTTACCAACCAATGAAGGAGTAGGAATAAAGCACTAAGGAAGAGAAATTCATGTAAAATGTTCTAATTTGGTACAAGTTTCTTTACAATAGCAAAGGTGAACAAGAATGAAGGGTTTCTGTACATCTCTTTAGAAAAAGCAGGGCCCGCAAACCCCGCAACCCACACCCATCCCCACTGTAGAAACACCAATGTACATCATCTTTGATGAAATATAGAGCAAGTTTGTCTTGAAGGCATAGTGATAGTAGTCGGTAGTTAGTTACTAAGACTTCCTGTATAACAGGTGATTACAGGTGTTAATTAAATACTTTGATTTGATTGGTTGTTTATACAGACCGGAAGTTGTTAATAGATGACTAATAGATTCAGAGATAAAGAGGGGAAGAAAAGTTTAGGAAAGATCTCCTGGTATATCATCGATAGCATGACCTTCACGTGCGAGTATGAAACCACATCTGATACATATTGCCACGTTTTTTATCAGTGAGTGGCCACATAACTTGATAAATATGGCTGCCATTTGTATTAATAAAGGATCGAATAACTGTAACTAGGGTTAATAGGGGAAACAGGAGTATATTCGTCCACCCAACAGTTCATTATTACTGTAATATACTAAAATAGATACACACCTACCTAGGTCATTTGGTGTAGGCTTATCTTGATACCTCAAATCATTTTATCAGCAACTTAGCATAAAATCAGAAACTAACTTAGACAAGAGCAACATTTATGCTGCATTAAACCGGGTATTATTGTCATTTACCTTACCTAAATGCTTGACAAAGCTGATCTTAATTACCATCATCATTTTAAGGTATTCAATTAAATCAGAAAGTGATCATGCATTGAATTGTCATTAACTTTGCTTAAATGCTTGACAATTCAGCTAGCCAATTTTATTGAACAAAGACTAGAATTTTTTCACTGAATTAGTTGTATGTGTATAGTCTAACATGAGTTTTATGATAGCAATATTGTTTGGTTGCGATAAAAACTGAAGCAACAGTATATGTATATTTAAGATCCTTTGACAGTTGGAAATCGAAAACTGGCTAAATTTGCCACATTACACACTGCATGGCATTAGTTAAACAGTTTAAGAAAAGTATAACATAAACTCCTTTTCATTTAATTTCATTTGAAGATTTCTTTACTCTTGAACAAGCTTGATCTGGATATTTGAGTTGATGAGAGAAAAACTGGAATTTAAAGGTCACTTTACAACTCAGAGAAAATGATTCTAAGTTTTTACCAGTTGATGAAAGAATGTTGATGATTGTTCCAAAGGTCATTAAGTTTAGTAAAGGTCAATATTAGTTTTTGTTACAAGATGAAGATATTTTATTTAGTATTATTACTGATAGCAGTTGACTGGGTGCATGAGACTCGCCCAAAAGACCACCACCCCCATCCCCAAGGGATTAATTCATCAAATATACAATATTAGCTCTGAGATCTCTTTGACAGAGATGGAAAATTGATAATCAAATTGCAGAGTGGTGTCAACTGTTCTGAAGTGTGAACATTACCTCTCTTGCAAGTGAAACCATAGCTTATCACACTGAGGTTTTTAAAAGGATAAAAACTTGAGGACCCAAGTTGTAGAGTTGTATCAGGTGTTTGGTAGTGTAAGCATACCTTCTCTTGTGACACTCACTACTATACTTATAATAGTGGAGTTCAAATTCTATCAAATTTTTGACTTTTTGAGCTTAAGATCTATAAGCTTAAAGTTTGAATAACGATGCTGAGAACAGTCTTGTCCATCCACATTAGGTTTTCACCAAGCATGAAAAGTGAGGTGAAGTCAGAGAGGTTTAGAGATATGTAATAACTGCCCTACCCCCTCTGCTCCCTACACCCTCCGCTCCCAACCATCTCTATTTCCAACCTCCTCTGCTCCCAACCCCGTCTGCTCCCTGCCCCTCTGCTCCCTGATCAATATGGAGTTATTGTATCCAGGTAGGCACCAGATTGAGACAATAGACTGAGACAATAGCACCACTCTAGTCTCAGAATGTTAGTCATCTCTA